CTCAGTTACAAAAATTACAATTCAACAAGTATTTGAGTCAGTATGAAAGACAACCTGGAGGGTCGTCTGCCATTACTGACACGAGTTATATAAACTGATGGCCAGATGGTGAGCGGTCACATTGATTTCTGTCTGTTCTCAGGTCCCGGTGGTGGCTGAAAAGAGGCTTATTGGCCCTCTTTGTTTTCTTCATTTTGGTGCCCTGCTTGCAGAGGACACTCCCAGAATTAATCCAGCACCTTGTTTACACTCACAGAAGTATGTGAATTCCCTCTTGGCTTCTGTGAAGTATTGTAAATATTCAAGTGGATCACACAAAAAATGGCCGCACTTCTCTTCTCTCCTGTTCGTAGTCAGGGTGCCGTTCTTTACTGACCTGAGCCGACCCTCTGATCTCTCCCTTAATCACACCGTCAACATGTACTTAACATCAGAGGAAGGAATCTCCCTTGGCGTGTGGTGAGTATAGGCCACGTTTTAAATGTTTTTATCATAGCTATAAAAGGGCTAGGACCTTTTTAATGATCCAGTTATCAGTTGTGCCTTTAAGCTGCTTTATTGTTCTGCACTGTTCAAGGCACACTGTCCCTGAAAGTAAGTGGAAGGAGGCACAAGGGAAGGATTTGGCATGGTACCAGAACACTTTAAGGGATGGAAGTCCAGTTTTTATATATCTTCACGGAAACACAGGCACAAGGTATGATGAATAATGCATTCGTGTTAAATTGATCCCAGAAGAAGCAGATATTAAATGTTTCACACAGCTAGACATATTTGGGAATGTTTCAAAAAAATGTTTTTTACTATTGGCCCCTGTGTTATCTGTGAATCATTCCAACAGGGCAGCCGCTCATCGGATCGGAGTGGCAAAAGTGAGTGATCGCCGGCACAAACATATGAATCTTTTGAAGGTCTAAAAAACGTAAGAAGCAGCAATTCTGAAGACAAATAAGCATTATGTGTCAACAGGTATTGAGTGCACTTGGTTACCACGTGCTGGTGCTTGACTACAGAGGTAGGTGAAAATGAAGATTTATGACTCATCTTCTCAACATATTTTCCATCTCCACGCTTCTTTGGCTTTTTATTGATTGTAATACACCAACCTCTCACATTGATTTAAAATCATTTGCAGGCATAAGATGTAGAGTGATGCACTTGTGCTTGATGAGTTGTTTGTTGTTAAGCCGTCAAAAGACAGTAGTTCAATTTAAGGTCAGACGCTAGTGCAGGTTTCCCTCTGAGTGGCTGCCCCCTGGTGGCCGTGAAGAGCATCTCTTGGGATCTGACGGTGAGCTGAAGTTGATGAGAGAAACTTTACAGGGTTTGGAGATTCCACCGGGGAGCCGACTGAGGCCGGTGTGACCACAGATGCCCTCTACGTTTACAACTGGGTCAAAGAACGCAGCGGGGACAGCCTGGTCGTCATCTGGGGACACTCTCTTGGCACCGGGTCAGTGACAAAACACTCCTTACCCTCAGCATTTGTCTCAAGTAGAGACTTCCACTTAACTTCCACAAGTAAAGTTAATTCAGGTCAATGTTATGAATGTGTATAACATGCTTTTCTTTTTTTAAATATTGGACTTTGATGTACTAGACACCTCTCTATCCTTTAGTTATCTAATTGCTGTTGAAACAAAACATTTGCTGTTCCTCTTATTTGATATAATACCTTGTAAATGTTTATAATACAGCAACGACTTACACCATTTAACCTGAGCAGGGATGGGCATGGCTGAACAGATGAAAGAGACCCACACACAGAAACACAACATCTAACCATTGGAAATCATTGCTGTGCAAAACACTTTGAATTCAGCACAGAATCACTACAAAGGAGACTGTTAAGAACAGTTGTTTCCCCTAAATATTGATTAGTTACATAGCTTGATTGACTCATTGGTCCTTAATGTTTCACCGTTTCAGGTCCAGTGTATTGAAATGCCAGTGACACCTATGCAAAGAAAATCATAAATAGTGAGTGTTAGACAAATATTGATACAAACTTTAGATCTCATCATATGAAATACTATCATGTCTGTCAATATATCGATGTAAATGTTACTTTGCATTATATTTGACAGTGCTGTACACATGAAGGCTTAACAATTAGCTCACGTCCATCAAACTCAGAGTTTGAGCTGCTTCCAAAAAATAAACAATAAAACTTATATTCCCTTATTATTAAATAAGATATGTGCTCTTTTATATAATATATAACACATTTTTGGCTATACTTTGTATGCTGTCTGTTGTGGTACAACATTTGGTATGTTTTGTCATATGCATTGTATGTATATTTACTGTACTTGGGAGAAGAAAAGGACACATTTTAATGGTGTAAAATAAGGCAAAGTAGGTCTTTTAATATGCTGATAGGAGAGTAATGTTGCATAGAAAATTATTTAAATCACAAAAGGTTGATTAAGATTAGCCCACAGCTACAATAAACCTGCTAACATCAGAACTAGCTGAACTGTTAATTCCAACTACACTAAATGAGACACTGAGGATGTTTCTCTTCTGTGCAGAGTGGCCACTAGTGCTGCAGTTAAACTGCATGAGCAAGGTAAGTTGATACCAGTGTATTTTGGAAAATGGAAATAAAAGGACTCTTGATGACTGTTTCCTGTTTTCAGGGAGGAGTTTTGATGGTGTGATTCTGGAGGGTACATTCAATACTAAGGGACAGGAGATACCGGCTTTTACCTGGGTAAACTCCTGGAACTTGTCACTTCTGACATGTGGTTTGTGCATTTCAAGTAGCTGCTTCATCATTACGCTTAACCTTTTAATGTATTATTTTCTTTCGGTTCTAAGTATTACTGGAGGCTTCCAGGCTCTGGATACTTATTCCCAGATCCAGGGGAAGAAAACAAGGCTTTATTTCCTTCTCAAGAAAAGTAAGTTTCCATTTAACGCTTGCTTTAAAACAACAGTTAATCAGCTATTAATATTGTTATTACAATTAAAATGCAATGACTTAATAATATGGACTTGTTATCTTGCAGTTTGAAGAAAATGACATGCCCGATCCTTTTCCTCCATTCAGAGGACGATCACTTGGCTCCTATTCAGACTGTTCAGGAGGTATTACCGGAACAGAAAGCTGTAATAGATTAGGTGTTTTCTGTGGGATAGATTTTTGTTGTAACTGGACCAAACTTTCCTTGCTTTTTTTCTGTCCCAGATGTATGAGGTAGCAGTGAGGGCCCAGAATGCAGAGCGGGTCAAGATGGTGCCATTTGACGGTTCTCTGGGGTATCTGCACAACGGCTTATATCGAGACCCCCATCTGCCTGACAGCTTACAGTGAGAAAACATTTCACTCATTGACATTCAAATGATTTTATATTGGCAAATATGTATCTGTTCATATCTTCAACATCTATTTCATCATGTCTCCTCCGCAGGAAGTTTGTCCTGTCGCTGTAAAGTTGGAAGCAGAAGACTTCAGACACACATTGATCACACACTACATTCCAATCAATTGCTTTTGTCTTTATGACTGCATTTGCACAAATATGTGATTTTCTTTACTTTTCAAATTTGTATTTGTTTGCCAAAAAAATAAGATATAAAACAATCATAAAAAAATGGTGTGATTTGTATGAGCCATTGTGGCAGAATCCGCCCTCTGCTGGGCATTGTGGTGTGGTGATAATGCTCATCTATAATTCCCAATAATGAGTTTTGTAATCCAAGGTTTAAGATGTCTATGTTTTTATTTCAGAACAATACATGGAGAGCAGCTGCTGGCAAATGTCAGAAATGAGTTGTGAATGTCTTTCAATTCAACCACAGGATATAAAGTGCATTCCTATCAGTTGAAAGAACCTCAGTTCAAATGTCTTTGCCGTTCAATTATAATACATCTTTATCACTGCTGATGTCAACAAGCAATGCATTGGTCCGTCTATGTGTAAGGCACTTTTACATTTCACTAGCGTAAAACTCCACAGAAGATGTCCTCCTTGCACAGATAGTAACTCCCTTTCACCTCTCAGTAATTCACATTAACAGGCCTAGGATTAATCCATATACATGCAGCATGCTGGAAGTTGCATTGATGAAGGGACGTTTTATCCATGCTTCATATTAGTTATTTTAATAAACTGTATTTTTTAAACATGTCTTATTTAGGGTAAGTCCCTTCTGCTCATTCTAGTGATTTGTATAATGTATAGTTGACGAACCTGTCAACAAGGCCTTCCAACCTCATATTGTATTGACACACATCTACATTTATATGCTGTCTACTGATGTTAAATCAGTGTATTTTTCTTTGATATATAGGGTTAGAGTCTAATTTGAATTCTTAATTCAGTTATATGTCACATTTGGGTAGATGTTAAAAAAACATTTAAAACTCAAGAGCATGTCGTCAATGAAGTGGCATCTGTCTCCTTTTGATGAGAAGGTCTGACCACATTTGTAGAAGGATTTATTAAAGGGGAAAGTGTATTTGCAGTACCTTTGAACTACTGCTGTAGATGGAAGATTGTTAAAAATATTGCCCTTTTTATTATACTACCTAGGTGTTGTGGTTGTGATAAGAGAAGTAAATAGCTGTATTCATGAGTTGCACAGGGAAGTTGTTGAAGGTGTTTTATGTTCTCAACAATCCATCTATTCATTGGAATGTTTTAAGTTGTGGTATTATGTTATCCAAACTATCCCCAGAGTGGTATCATGAAAACCCCAAATATATTAAATGAATGGTTGACGCTGTGGTGAATGCTTTAAACTACACATGTAAATGCATGAAAAGTGAAATATTGTTTTGAAAACTTCAGACCCATTAGAAGGACTCTGAACAGTGAATATACCTGTATGTTGTGCGCACGGAACATGTTTCGTGCACCTCCTCTGTCAAAGGTGAGTTGAAGCTCCAGTCTTGCCAGTCGGATGACGTGGCTGAAGGTTGCGGGCGATGCGCCGACAGAGTTTCATTACTCACCGTTTGATCCATCGCTTTTCACTGTGACTGGTTGCTACGAGTCACGTGACTCAAGTCAGCCAATCCTATGTGGATGCGGTGTGCGCTCGTGAAGCGCTTACGCCATATGCGTACGAGAGCATCCCTAAAATTGCCTCTGTCATACAACCAGGAAGAAGGTGGGATAGCCCTACAAAGCTAACATCCCCAATCTTTCTGCATACTTTCTCCGAAAATAATGGGGTCTTCCAGGTGGAAGGTGGCGGCAGCCTTTCTCGCTATAGTGGGCTCTTTATTACCTGTCGACGCAGATGAACATGAACACACGGTAAGACGCCGTTTTGAGAGGCCGATTGAAAAGGGGGAGCCTTGAAAATAATGGACGTTTGTGCTCTGTGTAACCTGCTAACTGTAGCTGCGACGGCTAGCTGCACACAAGAAAACAGAATTACATACACGACAGAGTGCACGCCTGGGCCTGTTGGGTTATTTATCGATACTTGGCGAGCTATTAAATATATAGGCATTGAATTAGCGAGCTAACTTGTTTCCACTTATCGGCCTAAGTGCTTAAAGCTAACGTTTGCAGCTAGCTTGTTAGCACGTCTTCCTCACTGGTCTTCACAAGCTTCCCTTGAGCACCGAAGGAAACTGCAAGTTAGGCTTGCTAGCGTTAGTGAGTTGTTCAACAAAATCAAGGCTACGGCCGTTATAAACGTGAAAGGCTTTTAGGAAATCCAGACAAACAGGATTTCCCCGAAGTGATGACTGCGATGGCTGTTATTTCAGACAATTTTACATATGCCGAAACAGTTAAACGTCATGGCCTCTCGTTATTTATTCTGTTCCCTTCGTTTTATTACACACAGACGCCGTAATTAAAACTGATAAACACATGAATAATGATGTATTAAAGTGTCTTCGTCACTTGGAATGGCTGTTTTAGGCATGAATTCAGTGGAAACTGATATAGCGTTGACGTTTACTTCCTTATCTGCAGCGTCGTTAACGTACACCACTTTTTGTGTTGTGTCTCACAAACGCAGTGATAAGTGTGTTGCATTTTCTTATGTTTGAATGAATTTTAATGCAAAAGATTAAAAGGAAATGTGATGATAACGTTTCATTAGACAAGTCCTTTTAACCTCAGTGTTTAAATTAAATACACCTGTTTAAGTTTGGTCATTATTATGAGGGTAAACATACATTCAGAGTTATTTAAAAGTCACACTTTATCTGTTTAATGTTGAAAAGCTAGAATATGAAACCACTTAGACTAGAATAACTGGTATAGCATTCCTGGACTTCACAATAAGAGTCCTTGTGTTTCCTCTGCAGTACATAGATAAGGAGGAGGTCGTTTTGTGGATGAACACAGTGGGGCCTTACCACAACCGGCAGGAGACCTACAAGTATTTCTCTTTGCCCTTCTGCGCGGGCTCCAAGAAGACCATCAGTCATTACCATGAAACCCTCGGAGAGGCTCTGCAGGGAGTGGAGCTGGAATTCAGCGGCCTCGACATCAGATTCAAAGGTATTCTGCTGTTACAATGACTTATTGGGCACAAAACTGATGAGAGCATTGCAATACTACTTTGACATTTGTCTCTGCATTTGTGGGTGTACTCTGACTTTCCCAAACATAATTCTCACTTGTTATCTATGATTCTCGTAGATGAAGTCATGCAGACAACATACTGTGAGATTGACCTGGACAAAGCCAAACGGGATGCCTTTGTCTACGCCATAAAGAATCATTACTGGTACCAAATGTACATAGATGACCTCCCTATCTGGGGTAAGTGATCCATTTCTTTAATTTTTCAAAATTTCCTTCAAGGCTTGATATACCTCTAATAAATTGGCGGATACTAAATACACATGCTTTTTAGCTTTCCTTTTATTATTACTCTATAAAGTACTTATTTTCTAATGGTATCTTCCATTCTGAGTTCATTTTACAAAGGTTGGCAGTGACCCGGCTTCTTGTGTATCAGTGTGTTTATCTTGTAATTGGAGAAGTTAAACCAGTTCTTATTCATGGGTGGGACTATCCAGTCATTCATCACTGGCCAACTCACTAGAGGAGTTACTCTACACTTGTATTGTGTTTGAAATAGCTTACTGAAAGCATTCAACTCATTACTTGTGGTGGCTCTGAGCAATTCTTGCTTGGTTTTTTGTCAAGAATCTCTTGAACAATGCAGTGTTTTGGTGGATTAGCTGCTGTCTTCAGTTACATTTTTGACAGATTGTTGTTGTCTTGCAGAAAACTGTATTTGTGATAAATGCTGCAACAAAAAAAAACTACTCAAAAACATCAGATAAACCTCCTATTTAATTATATTATAATATTTTTATTCACTGGAATGCTTTATGGAAAATGTATTGGTATATGAAACCAATTTGACATACCAAAATAATTAAATACATCATTAGAATGTGTTAAAAAGAGCTTCACTGTCAAACTTTCCTTAATGCTGCAACTGTGACAAGCGATCACTGCAAAATTATTATACAGTACGTGGTTATAGCTTGTACAGAGGCGCCACTCCTACTCAAACAGAACCGTCCAGGCTGAAGTGGTTGGTAGTGGGTGGGACTCTGGCATTTACTAAGACCGTATTGTAAGTTGCACACACAGGCCTTAATCGCCATAAACAAATATAGACTTTAACCTCATGTCCGGTTCGCCAGCGTGGTAATCAAACAATTGCTCTTATCACGTCTGAGACGTTGATGTTTGACGTAGGTTATGCAGCAGCATTTGTAGTTAATCACTTCTTTCCCACAACACACTTGCAGCAACAGTGTCTTATGTTAGTTAGCCTCCTAAGGATGGTTAACTTGACTAAAAACATTGCCCATCAAAATCTATTTGTCCAGTGTTCAAAGAGAATCATATGTTTATTGCATCACAGATAGTAAAAATCCTGTCTTCTGTGAAAATCAAACAATCTTAAATAAGGTCATGATCAATAATAAAGTTCCCCTACTTAAATATAAAAGAGTAATAGCAACATTGGGATTAAAATGTATAAATGGCAACATTGTATGAGTGTGTTCTTTATACATGATAACACGAGCATCCTGTTGAGTCGCTTCAGAGCACTTGTTTTGCATTAAACTGATCTGCTCAGAGATTTTGCATCAGATTGTTTATGGGAGGCCAGTAGGGGCCTGCTTTGTTTGCCCTGTCCGTTTGACCACTTCTGAAAGAACCAGAATAATAATTCAATGCATGTAAATGTTATTAAAGGTATTGTTGGTGAGGCGGATGAAAATGGAGAAGATCATTACCTGTGGACGTACAAGAAGCTGGAGATCGGCTTCAATGGCAACAGAATTGTTGATGTGAATCTGACCAGTGAAGGCAAAGTCCGACTTGTGCCAAACACAAGAATAGCCATGTCCTACTCTGTGAGTACATGATCCACACAGTGGTTCTTTTTGTATTGTACTATATTTCATTACTCTAGTGTTTGTCTTTTAATCTCATGTCGTATAAAGTAGTGTTGCCTCGGGTAGTCGTATAAATGAAGTGTTTATAGTCAAAATATGAATGTAAACCCTTCCTGTCACAGGTGAAATGGAAGAAGTCGGATGTGAAGTTTGAAGACAGATTTGACAAGTACCTGGATCCATCCTTCTTTCAGCACAGGGTGAGTTGTATATCATTGTTTGCGCTGCATCGTGTAAGCCGAGAGCGCCGGTGGCTTGTTTTAACAGGGCGCTTATGATTTATCACAAAGCACAAGTTGAGCCTCGTACTGCGAAAAGTTTGGTGTAATCTGCCGGTCTGTTCACTTTTGGCTGACTCTTTGACTCAAACTGCTTTTGTAGCAGGCCATCAGCTGGGCTCTCTATAAAAAAGGAAGTTAGACTGATTTTCATTTAATCTATATATTTTTGTATCCACCAGCTAGTGGAAGATACGTTTGTTTCCTGCCCTGACTTTGTAGAGAGAAGCTGAGCCAATTGAGAACAAGCGTTAAAAAAAAAAAGCAGTATTTTTGTGATTTTAAATACCCAGATAAGAGTAATGGATTCAGCATGTTTTTTGATTACTTTTTTCGCACAAATCAATAGTCCATGGTTTGTTATTGAGCCTTTTGATATTTGGTACATTCTGGTTTTGATAAAAAAATCTTTAGAAAATGGTTACTTTTTAAAATAATAATAATTTTTCTTTACTTTTAGATTCACTGGTTCTCCATCTTCAACTCCTTCATGATGGTGATTTTCTTGGTGGGTCTGGTGTCCATGATTCTGATGAGAACACTAAGAAAGGATTACGCCAGATATAGCAAAGAGGAGGAAATGGATGACATGGTAAGTTATAATGAGCTTTAGAAATTAGCACATTGTTATTTGTTGATGTTAAATTTGAATTAAAGTGTTTATTTTTGTGATTTAAATTCCTTTTCTCTTTCTGTTTTCCCTATTCCTATCTTTGTACTTTAATATAAGTGATGGAAGGTGTGATTCCATGCTGTGTCAAATCTTTTTATGAACTTTTTGCATTGTCCCTGTTCTCCATCAGGACCGAGACCTGGGAGATGAATACGGGTGGAAGCAGGTTCACGGTGACGTGTTTCGGCCGTCCAGCCATCCCATGATGTTCTCCTCGCTCATCGGCTCCGGCTGCCAGATCTTCTCCGTCTCCTTCATCGTCATCATCGTTGCCATGGTGGAGGATCTGTACACCGAGTGAGTAGCTAACCGCTAACTGCCTGGTAGTACCTTATTGTTCTCATTGTGTGTTTGGGGTAAGATAAGATGATCCTGTTTGATAAACCCTATGAAATAGGTAGAATGGTTTTCTGTACAAATAAGGAAAGAGACTGAATGAATGGGACATTAGAGGAAAACAAAAAATGGTATTGCGTTAATAAAGGAAATAAATGGTTGTGTTGACCGAAAGTTACTCTGCATGTGTTTTTTCTTTAACGTTATGTCGAGTGTAATTTAAAAGGACACTAAACTCATATTTATTGACAAGCTTAGTTTAAAATATTTATTATTGATTTTGGAAAAACAGTCCCTTTTTTAAGCGCTCTGTTCAAATGTAGCTTAGAGAAAGAGATGTGTGTTCAGACGTCAGTGTAGGAAAACACAATTGATGTGAAGTACCAGCTTTAAGGGGAATCTCAGACGCTGAGAGAGTAGTGACCTCTCAGAGCTCCACTCATACCTCGGTTCTCTCTGCAGGAGAGGATCCATGCTGAGCACAGCCATCTTCGTGTATGCCGCCACCTCCCCTGTCAATGGCTACTTTGGGGGAAGCTTGTACGCAAAACAAGGAGGTAATACAAAAAAATGTCAATGCCTCACATTCTCTCCTCTCTTTATTTCCTGTCATACATGTCTCACGTGATTCTGTTTGATTTGTCTGAACAATCCAGGCAGAAGATGGATAAAGCAAATGTTCATCGGAGCGTTCCTGATCCCAGCCATGGTGTGCGGGACGGCTTTCTTCATCAACTTCATCGCTATCTACTACCACGCCTCCAGAGCCATCCCATTTGGCACCATGGTGGGTTTTGACACAGTAACACCTCCCTAAAAACCACAAAGATATGAACAACATCCTCCCAGTCAACAGCTTCAGTTTGTGTGGCTGTGCTGCCCTGTGGTGGAAGTGATAAGATGTAGACTTTATCTATATCAGCCTGGAGCAATGACAAGGTTTTTTTTTTCATTGAGTTAGTTAATGTTCAGGCTAGAAAATGATCCTTTCCTCATCTGAGAACATTAAAAACAGATCACATCCTATAAAATACATTCCACATGACGCCGGGACCCTAACTCATAGCAGTTTCTCAACTCTGATGAGTTTAATTGTGCATTTACTGCCAAAGTTTCCAAACTGAAAAGCAAGAAAACAAAACCATGAATGCTTTCCAGATAAACTCCTCAGATACTTAATTGCAAACAGCTGTTTGTCGGCTCCACACGCCAGAGTTAAGTGTCTATCAGCTAGTGATGTGTCGGTCGCGAACGAGCCGGCTCAAAGAGCCGGCTCTTTGGAGTGAACGACGGGAGCCGGCTCGCGCCCGCGAACGAGCCGTTTTTTTTTTTTTTTTTTTTTTTTTTTTTTTAGTAATACAGAATGATATGATGATCTCCGCGCTAGAGCTGCTCCGTGCATGCATGCAGTGACATGTAATATCCAAGGATTAGAGACTGTTGGATGCTGCTGTTTTGAGCATTGCAATACATTTATTTGCATTATGTTTTTTATGATTAGAGACGGTTGGATGCTGCTGTACTGAGCATTGCAATATATTTATTTTCACTATGTTATTTATTTATGATTATCCTTGGGCTCAGCAAAGACTTGATGTCAGCTGTTGCTGTCTTTTTTTCGATAGTTAATACTGAAATAGAGCCCTGCTGTTTTGTCAGGGCCCTTTCTTTAAATATAATTTTAAAATGTCGATACAGTAGCCCCTTTTTTTAAATGTCTATGCTTAAGTTTTTGTGTTGCTATCTGCTTTGTGTAGCGTGGTTCTACAAACAAGTCTGTGCATTCATTGGGTGGTATCAGAGAGATACAAGGGTCTGTAAATGCAATGAAAACAATTGGCCACAGCAAATAATTGATATTAAACATGTAATTTTTACTTTTGAATACTTCAGTACAAAGGATGTATTGAATAATTTAAGTGATATGTGTACACATATAAATCATTAGTCAAAACAGGGCTACATTTGATTGAATTATAAAAGGTATAATATGTGGTAAACTGAAGAGCCGTTTGGGAGCCGAAAGAGCCGGCTCTTCTTGGTGAGCCGAGCCAAATGATCCGGCTCACCAAGAAGAGCCGGAATTCCCATCACTACTATCAGCGCAACATGAGATCCATCAAGTGTCAAGTAACGATCTTAAAATCAAACCACCAAATAGCCATGATCCAACTGCAGCGTTATTTCATCCGAAAACATTTGGGGCAGTCGTAGATTGTTTTGGCTAAACCTGAAGGTATTCTGATAATAACCGCATTACTATATGCATTTGTCATCACTTTGTCTTATTTATTTGCATTTGTACTTCTATATCAGACTATTTGATATAAGGGAAAGCTAACAATCAAGCATCTTAAAACAATTGTAACTGTCGATTGTAGTCCTTTGTGAAATAGCGATGCTTATAGTATGGAAGTTAACACTTGCGCCTCTATTGGCTAGCCCTCCAACACATTGTATGTAATAGGCTTAGGGGCGGGACATGTATAACTAGTTGACCAAACAGATCAGAGCAGACTGGGCTCTGGTTTCAGACAGAGGGTGAAAAGAGATGCTGCAGCACAGGCAGTATGAGAAAAATAAAGAGCTTTTTGAACATTAAAGCATGGAGACATGTCACAGTAGAGACACAAAATACAAATATGAACTTGAAAATGGGCAACATAGGGCCCCTTTAAACCAATTGAATTTCTAGGACACAGTCAAAAGGACAGTTGAGATGGTGTATCTGAGAACACCCTGTATATTAAACGTGCGTTTCCTGCAGGTTGCCGTCTGCTCCATCTGCTTCTTTGTCATCCTGCCTCTTAACCTCGTGGGAACAATTCTGGGGAGGAATCTGTCCGGCCAGCCGAACTTCCCCTGCCGAGTGAACGCCGTGCCGAGACCCATCCCTGAGAAGAAGTGGTGAGTGTGGCCTCACACATATACATACGTTTGTTGTATGTTGTACAGAGCCTAATATAACATCTTAAGAACTGTTTCTTTGTTTTTTTCTAGGAAAACAAATATGTTTAATTTACAATTATAATAAACAGTTACAAAAGCACATTTTGGGTATATTAAATGGAGACATAAGACTCACTGCCACAAGAGCTTGAATAGGTACAGTCAGATAGCTAAAAGGACTGCTCCATTTTCTTTAACATAACAGGCCTGGAACTAGGACTAATGTTTAGTCTCCAGCAAGCTGTATGGCAGCAGCTCATTTGAGTGCTATTGTGTGCTTCAGTTTGAAGTACAGGCTTTTTACTAATAGATGTTATTTTGTAGTAAGGGTTTGTACTTGGAGAAGAAAACGCTGTACAATGGTTCAACCAGACAGACGATCTAAAGAGCAGAAAGAGACAAAGATAACCCTGAGCAACAGTTCAATAAGAATAAAAGAAAACAACCAATCAGTGGTTGAAAATGTGGAAGCGTAGCAACGAAATGTGTGCAGATTAAGATAATAACAGGTTAGTCTCGAGTTAGCACTATTGGAATACCAGCTGAACACACTCTTCAGTCTAACCACTGAGTACACTGCAGAGGACTTAAGGAAACAGCTTCCTGAAATATTTCAAGCCCAATTGAGTTGCTACGGTTCAATAATGATGAAGGGGCTCTTAAACTATTGTCGACTGAAAACAAATAAAAAAATCGAAGGGGTATTTGGGAAAAAGATGGTTCCTGCAGTGTTTTCTCTGTCATGCAACAGTGGGGAAATCGACTGAATGAAAGTTTGAATCATTATTTTCTCCTTCTTTTTGAGCATTCACTATTGAAATGTAAATTCAACATTTGAAGTTTAAATAGCCGTTATGGAAAAATGGAATGGAAACGTCGATAGAATAGCTGATTCTACAGATACTTGAAGTGTAGCACCGGGCATGCCGTGTTGACATCGCTGTGGAGAGAAGGGTGATCAATAGGCAGTGAGGAAGTTGTACTTGACGCATGAAATGAATCCTAAGCGTTGTAGGGTTGGTGTTCAAGTGTTAGACAAGTAGGAAATGGTATTGCTGTCTACACATCCTCTCAGGGTAATGAAAAATATCAAGCAATAAACCGAGTGCTTTAACATTTACAGCCTTCAGAGGCTGTGTGGGCAGCTGCCAACAGGAAGTGGTAGCTGTGAGACTTATTTTGAGTTTCCAATCTGTCTCCATTTTCCTTCTCATAACACTTTAAGTCACACACCCTTTGTTACCTTGTGTCAGGTTCATGGAGCCGGCTGTCATCGTCTGCCTCGGAGGGATCCTTCCGTTCGGCTCGATTTTCATTGAAATGTAAGTCATTGCTGTCGAACTGAACGTTTTCCTTTTATGTAGCAAGTGTATCTTTGCGGCAGGTGACATGTTTCCTGTCCTCTCTTCTTCAGGTACTTCATCTTCACGTCCTTTTGGGCCTACAAAATCTACTACGTGTACGGCTTCATGATGCTGGTCCTGGTCATCCTGTGCATCGTGACCGTGTGCGTCACCATCGTGTGCACGTACTTCCTGCTCAACGCCGAGGACTACAGATGGTGAGAGTTTGGCACCAGTGTTGACAGCAACTTTCCCCGCACCGTGAAAGATACAATATGTAACTTTCCTGCATATAATGTCATCAAATAGCTAAGCAGATGACGTTTTTTTTGATGAGTTGTGTATTTTAATACCCTAATGTTCCAACTATTTACAAACCTAGCGAAATCCATAATTTGAATCGCGTGTAGTGCTGTCGTTTCCTCTCTAGGCAGGAGTCAGCATCGATTTATGACTTTCCATCTAGTTTGAAGCTACGGGTTTTTATTGGATACACTTTGAAGATTGTCCATTACAGCATATTTTAACCAGATAAGGGAATTTAGTCATGGGGTCTCAAGTTATCAGAGAAACAAGCTGAACAAACTTTAGCATCTGCCAAACACCTTCAAAACAACTCCTATCATTCAAATTGTCACCCAAACCCATTGAATGAAAGACCCATAGTAGGAAAGTAAATGTTATGCGTTCAAATTAATGTCCTAGAGTTTAGTGTTGGGAAATAATTGACTTCCCTTGCAGTCAGCCTCTTGTTCACCTGCATTAGTGTCTAATCCAGAGCTGAGAGAATGATTAATGAACCAAACAATGACCTAACTAACTAACTTTGGTTTTCTCTCTTTTCTAGGCAATGGACAAGCTTCCTCTCCGCTGCATCCACTGCTGTTTATGTTTACATGTACTCCTTTTACTACTACTTCTTCAAAACTAAGTAAGTTTAACACTGTATCAACCACACAGGTCATATACAACCAAGAGAGTACAAAAGCAATGAAATGCATTTGTTAAATGTTTCTCTTTGGTGTATTTCAGGATGTACGGGCTCTTCCAGACGTCCTTCTACTTTGGCTACATGGCTGTGTTCAGCACCTCTCTAGGAATCATGTGTGGTGAGTCTCAAATATAGTTGCTTTAATACTCTAGGACCTTCCAGAGTAAAGAAATACATCACTTCTCGACTCATAATACTCACAAAATTCCATTTACTTCAAAAAGTAATTGCAAAATATATAGCTTTACTTGGAAAATACTGCCTTTTTCATGAATGTAAAAGATGTTTTGGCAAAACAGTTATGTGAATATGCAGAGCTCCGTAATATGTTTCTGCAGCTTCCCAAAGAAAAAGAACCCTCTTAAACCTCTTACCTTTCTGTGACGTTTGCTTGTATAAGTGTTCCAGGTCAGACTCTGCAAACCTCTTAGCTGCACAAACCCGTTGTAAACGTCTTGTTTCAACTTGATGAATGCTGCCTGTTCATGAGGAGCTGCACGTTCCTGAAATTGAATCGTTAGCACAATGATCCCGAAGCACAAAATTGGCTCGACGGCAGGCGCCCGTCTCTCACACGCCGAGTTGAATCCCTCGGGCAGGAGCACCCGTCTGATTTCTGCTTTAGGCATTTAAACAACAGAGAGCAGATGGTCAAACAAGAAATAAACAGTTCATAATTATTCTACTATGGATTGCAGCCGCATCAATCAGAAAAGTTTTTAACAGCTGCTGGGTGCACACAGTGAGAGACGGCTCCCCAAAGGTGAAGCCAGCTGGTTGGTTAGTTAAAGTGCTTGATTTGTTTCTGAGCCGTGCCTGTTTTTTTAACGTCAATATTGCTAGTGATCATGTCGGTTTGATTGTGGGAAGCAAAAACTTCACTATGCAGCCAACTAGTGCTTGGTTACAGGGGCCCTATTAGGTCTTAGGGCTTTTCCCTTTCTGTACAGTAATATATGATTTTGTGCATGTTAACACACTTCCCCAGCCACAGCTGGTACTGTACATCTTTCTCTGTGTGCACCACCTCCTTCAGGGTTGCTGGGATGTCACCTTTATTGGATACCTTCACCAGTAATCATTTCCCTCCTCCTGTGATGGATTAACCAACAAAGTGCTTGCAGTTGCTAGGCCACCTTAAAGAAACTCACTGAACTCTGTTGTTTTCCAGGTGCCGTTGGATACATGGGAACAAGTGCCTTCGTGAGGAAGATCTACACAAATGTAAAAATTGACTAAAGAAGCGAAGCAGCATCACAGGGATATAAATGCATTTGCCTCGTGTATCCTGAAAGACGGCGGGCACAAGTCATTCTTTATTCCTCTTTTTTTTCCTTGCAAAGAGAATGTGAGAATCTCACTTTGTACAATGTCGTTTATTTTTTCTTCGTTTTTCTGAATGAATTTCAACGCCGCAACTCAGAATCTGCGGAAAGAGATTTCAAACACAAGGTTCTGTTTTTATGAGTTGTTTCAAACAAACGTTGGGCAAATGTTTAAGGCTGACATCTTTTCCAACCCAGTCCCACCTGAGACCAGAGAACATTCACGTTTATCGCTGGGATAGTGTAGCTCTCTTCAGTGAAGAGGCCTAAGTGTATTGAGAGCCTACGTTCTGTTCTGTTCTGTTCAGTCAGAATATTGGAGTTGGCTTTTGCGCCCGTGTTCTGACTCCATTTCTATTTTGTATTCTTGAAGTCCCTTGAAATCGTTAACACGCAGTAAAGGTGTTTGTTTTGGTTAATGTCCACTGCAAAAAAAGATAAACAAGTCAAGAGTCATTCCCCCGTTTTGACGATTCTTAATCCCGTTACAGTAGCAATCCATCCAGTTGTTGAGGGAGATTTTAGTCCTGCTGTAGTTTACTGTGCAGACGAGAACAGAGGGACTTATCAACGGTTGAGGTACAGTAAGAAAACCAATTTTTAAATGGATGTTTGATGTGATCCCATTTCCCCGTTCACCCGGGGTTTTCTTAATGTTTGGGTTTGAATGAAGTCTACTTGTAAAGATAATATATGGATGGGTGGGAGTGTATATAACCTTAATAATGTACCTTTAGACGTAGATCCCAAATGTATTTTCGTTGTACAGATTTACTACAGGGTGTCTTCTTTTTTTTTAATCTAAACAAAAAAAGGTTTTTCTTTTCCTCGTTTGGGATGGGGCTGGTGGCGCTGTTACATCTTGCCTGATATTGCATGAAGTTTTCACCAAACCATCTGCTCAACAAATTCCACTTCTGTCGAGATTTATGTTTTCCCCTCTCTGATTGTGAGTATGTTCTCAAAATGTAAAAGGTACATTTTGACGGCGTGCTTGTGGACTCTTTTTATTTTGATTTCTTATATTATTTAAAGCTTTAAAAGCCTCTGCATCCTCTGGTAAGCCATTTCCCCTTATGTTCTTTTCTAATGCTAACCCCAAACATAATTTGTGAATGTCAGAAGCAATGAGGCGATGGCTTTGTTTCCGCAAACATACTGTACAAAGTGAAGTTTATGTACACTTAAAAACTAGATGTTTTCATAACCACACACAGTGCTGGCTGCGGAGTGTTTCAAACGCTTTCCCCCCCATTTTGTGTAAATACAGTATGTACCCTACTTGTATGAGAAGTGGCAATGCCTTTTTTTTTTTCTAATTTCCAGTTCTCCCCACTGAAGTTGATTTTGGCACCTCATGTTGTGTACCAATGTCTGATTAGACATTCTGAACCTGCATATTAACTTGCTGTAAAAAGAGAAAATAAACATGTTTATGTACAGGGGTTATTAAGTGTGGTTTCACTGAGGCTACATATTTTGGAGTTACTAGAGATGTGTTTTACTCTTATGCCAATGTAAATTACATTCGGTTCAATCAGGAGGAATAGCAGGGTATCACATTCAGTTTCAAAACAAAGAGCTGACATTTATAAAGAATATATTTATTAGCGTACTCAACAAATGGATATTTAAACTGTAAACTAAGTGTACATTTATTGTTAGAGTTATGAGCTCCGTCTTTAGTTGACTTTTTCAAAGTACTCCTTGGATCCTTCTGGTGTTGGTTTGATCTGAAAAGTAAAAAATATAAACTGAATGAGCGTTAAAAACTGATTTACTTGAAGCACAACAGTTTCTACACACTTCTAACAACATGATAAAAGAAAAGACCGTTTGCAACAGATCTTAACACTGCAGTGTCAGTGCATGGGTTGATGGTGTTGGAGTCTCATGGCTTCAGAGGTTGAGAGACTCACCGTCGGGGAGTCAGGGGTCCAGCTGGCTGGACACACCTCACCGTGGGTCTCCACAAACTGGAAGGCCTTCACCAGACGCAGCGTCTCTTCTACACAGCGGCCCACTGGGAGGTCGTTCACACTCATGTGTCTCACCACGCCGTTTGGATCGATGAGAAACAGGCCTCTGAAGGACAAAAACAAAATAATTAATCAAAAACACTTCTGTAGTTCTCTACAAAACAAATGAAAAAACCGATGACAAAATGTACACTCACACTGGCATTAAGAAAATGAAAACAGTAACTATAAAATGCATTTCCTGCAGAAAATGCATGTGAATGCTGTAAACTGAACATTTGTGGCTGAATGTGGCTGAAAAAGCTGAATATTTTATTAGCTGAATGGTAGCTGCTTTTAGCTACAAAAACCAAGTGAGTGTGTTGCTGAACTTAGCGGAGAAATGCAGAAAAGTGAAATGATTTGAATCAAAATTGTTACAGCTCAAATGCATTGCAATGACTTTGTTGGAAACCTGAAAGTAAACTGGAAGAGTAGGAAAAATAGTGAAGAAGCTTAATATAAAAAAAAGGTATAAACAACATGTATAGCCTCAATGTCCTGAAATAGCTGAATACGTTAATAGTTGAATGGTTTCTGCAGCTGAAAGTAGGCTGAAGAAGTTAGATATTAAATGTAAGTAGTAGTGAATGAATGTTTACAAACACCTGTGTGTGTAAGCCCAGAGATCAAAGGTTTCCATGGAGATGTGCTGTGAAAGGAGAGCCTTTCCATTTGTTCTGAATGAGATGAACCTCTTGCATTTCTAACTTTTGTTGAAAAAAATAATACAAACCTCCAGTGTTTGTGTGTGCGTGTACCAGTCTGTCTGTGGGCGTGTCTGCTCTGATTAGATGATGTCACTCAGGTTTGTGGCCCCAATCTGCCCAGCAACACCATAGTTACCAACTGCAGCACTGAGTCCCATTAAGAATGCATTGAGGATTATATCTGACAATTTTTGCCACCTGTTCAAAAACTATGGCTCCTATAAAATAAATTACCAGACCGTGAGCATCAGGGAACCCCAATGAACTGATATGTTTTTTTTTTAAGTTTTGTGTGTAAAATGTGGAGATGGGAGCAGTTTGTTTAAAGTTTACTTCTCTCTAGTCTGAAGAAAGATCCGGATTTTTTTTACATGGGAGTCTATTGGGAGCTAGGTGGACTTTTTGACAAGTTTTTGTCTCTTCATGCCCTCAAGAAGCATTTTGTTTAATATCTTTTCTTAATCTTTTTTAATTTTTCAACGTAGGAGAGGTTTTCCTATGTTTTTCATGAAAAATGATGTCCAAGGAGTGTAGGGTTTGTGAATTATGGCAGTTTAAAAAAAAAATGTAGAGCTTGTAAGAATTTCAAGCTCTCCTCCACTCTAGCTGTGACATCACGCACTCTAAGCCTTAACGAGCTGCCCAATATACACTCATGTTAAAATCTGAAGAAGGCCTCTTTACCAAGCTCCAAACTAAGTTAAATATCTCAAAAAGTGGAAAAGACATCAAAAATCTGAAGAACAAGTTTTATAGCTGAAGGTCTTGTTATCATTTTAAAGTTGGAATGAAGTCTCTAGCATTTGGCACATGGTGTAGTTAAAAGAGAATTTGAAGGTTCCTCCCATTGAGTTCCATGTTAAAAAAAGAGTTTAAAAAGCTGAATATTTCAAAAAGTATGAAATATTTTGAAAAAGTTGAAAGTTTCCCATCGATTGCTGAAAAGGCTGAATAGTTTGATATTTGAATGGTTTCTGTAGCTGAAAGTATGTTGAAGTTATTGAGAGCCAAAGTATTGGTTGAAATAATAAGGGGAAGAATAAAGATTCGAAGAACTATAATGGAATGCTGTAAACAGCATTCGCACTAATTAGAAATGTTTGGATCACACAATCGTACACAGCGACCGCTAGAAAATAATTGTATAATTCTAACAATTATAATGTGGCGTATACTTTATCTGCAACCGTGCAGTAACACTGGCTTTAAACAGGATGAATAGATGTGCATTTGAATGCTGATATGTCATTTAATTGCCAATTATGCTTGAAGCTTCCTAACTATTCAGTTTTCTACCCTTTGTTGTAAAAAGATAAATTAGTGATATTTCCGTTGTCAGACGTGTATAAATGGCATAATAGACGTACCTCAGTGCGATGCCTGGACCCTCCAGCAGCACCCCGTAGTCTTTAGAGATCTGCTTGTTGAGGTCGGACAGTAAGGGGATGTGGATGTGACCCAGGCCTCCAGTCTGACAGAACACCAGGAAACAACACCTGTTAGAATAACTGACACTACTACTGCAGTAAACACATCAGACATACAGTCAGTCATTTGCCAATGCTCCTTTGTGACCCACATCAAAGAATGAATGGAAAAAGTCAGCGAGTTGAACTCTGCACCGTGTCAGTTTCTGAATAATGATCAAAGAGGGGGAGCACCTTGCGTGGCGTGTTGATCCACGCCAGGTGGGTGAAGTGAGAGTCCACAGACACGCCCACCACCTCACAGTTAACGTCGTGGAACTCGTTGGCCTTGTCGCTGAATGAGATGATCTCTGTCGGACATACAAAGGTGCTGAAACAAAGAGAGAAAAAAAAGATTCAGTGAGGAAATATTATCTGACCAAATTCACACCTAAAGAAAATTAAAGGGGCCCCATTATGCTTTTTGGGGTGTTCCTTTCCCTGTAGTGTTATATAGGTTTTTGTGCATGTAAATGTTCTGCAAAGGCTCAAATCCCAAAGTTCCCTCCAGAGGGAGTTTCTCTCCTACACACTCCACCCTGCCTGAAACACTTGATTTGACTCCATTGTTTACTTCGGTAACATTGTGACATCACTTGATCCAACACATTGTACATGATAGGCTAAGGTGCCAGCCAGGTGCTGCAGCAAAGCAGAATGAGAAAAATAAAGACCTTTTTAAACATTGAAGCATGTAAACATGTCACAGTAGAGGCACACAATACAAATGCACATAATATGACCTCTTAATTAAGAGGACTTTTATTATACAAGTCTGGTTTTACAGCCTGTTGTGGTTGGATGAAATGTTATGTTTGATAAGTAACTGTGCATTTGCATGGACATGTGGAACTGAATTTCTCTTTCTTACATTTTTGCTTTACTGTAAGGGTTGGCTGGGACTGCTCTCAGGTTTTTTTTGTAAAAGTTTATTTTTTATTTTCCTTTTACATTAAAGGTAGGGTAGGTAAGTTTGAGAAACCGGCTCGAGATACACTTTTTGTTATATTCCATAGAATGCTCTTAACATCCCGATAGCAATGAATATCTTAAGTGCTTTGACAAAAAATCCATAAAAAAAATGTCATCTGTGGAAGCCGTAATACTGTAAAAACCACGAAGGATGGCCTACCTGCCTGTCAGCCTTCCATCTGTGCACAAACTTATCTCGTGCCCTCATTGGTCATGTGCGCGTTCGTGTGTGTTGGAGGAGGGGCTCTATAAGGAAGTGGCAGATTTTCTCCGGTTGTGTATTTTCAAATTCTAGCGATCTCGAGCCGGTTTCTCAAACTTACCTACCCTACCTTTAACTGCTATTTTACTGCTTTTTTTTCTCATGTTACCGTTTTATGTTTGGAAACAAATGAATAACGTTTTTGTTTTTTTCAAACGAGATGACTTTCATTCAACAGTCTACTGAGCTACATAAAAGTATAATATCACTCAATGTGCATTTCAATCAAAGGGTATTAAGAGCCCTTCTTCTTTTGTGCATGTCACAAACACTCACAAGTCCAGTGGGTAGAAGAAGAGGACCAGGTATTTGCCCTTGAAGTCAGCGAGGCTCATCTCCTTGAACTCGCCATTGCTGACAGCTGTGCCCTTGAAATCAGGAGCCGCCTGGGTGACAGCAGGGGCCCATCTGGAAGAGCCTGATATAGAAAAGACCATTTATTCTTTCTAACTATTTGCTTAGTAAAACCAAGGGAACATACAGTGTATAGTACAGAGAACTCTGTGTGCAATCTTATTTATAACATTGATGGAACATGCCTGTTTGTGCAACTGTAAAGAACCTGACAGTGTATACAGTAAACTGATCAGTAAGTTAACCAAACATTTTTTTGAATATTTTACATGTGCTAAGATAAGGCGTAAAATGTACTATTGAAATACATTTAAATAACAAAAATGTAATATTCTGATATTATTGCTTAGCTATAACCTGAGGACTTGCTTTTATAACAACTCCAGAGAACAATAAATGATGTATATTATCCTGCACATGAAGATAACCGCTTCTTGACACTGAAACATATTTGAGAGAACAATAGATTTGGTGATTATTTAGTGAAAAACTTCAAACAATAAACACAATTGGCCAAACCAATCTCCCGTGTTTTGCCCTCAAGTCAAAGAGATTAAGTTTACATATTAAGTAATTCAAATGGTTGCAGATACATCTTTAGACGGACAATAAATGGTGTGTGCTGTAGAGTTTAATCAGCATTCGACTGTATATCGTGTG